CTTGGTACAATGAACCGGTTATTATGTATAAGAGAAGAGTGGAGGGGCTATTTTTTTTTCTCAATGGTTATGTTGTAAACAAGCTCTGTCTTCCCTGTTGCTTACAGTGGTACTGTTTGCCCTGTGGCTTGGGTTTCACGTGGAAGTTAAGATGGGCCGCATTTTGGGGGACGCACCTTTCTCCCACTGGAGCCCAATTCTCCATCATTGAGGCCACGTGTTCCTGCCAGCTTATTCCAAAATAGAGTTGACTATCCGCGAGGTGCCAGAGGTGTATGCTTTGGAGAAGTTGGGAGAGAAAGGTTATGGAGGTCCCCTCTTCCTGGGGGTGGTCCCTACTTGGTAATTCTTCCCCTGAACTCGGGCAGTGGCAGAGGAGAGTGTGTGGGACCGCCAGCTGGCCGCACACCCTCCACGAGAAACACTTAGGCTCTGAGAAAGAGCAGCCGGCCAATTACCACTTTCTTTGCACCTCTGCCTGTTGCAGCCGTTTCTATCATTTTGCTATGCTTCATTGACCAATGGGGTTTTTTTTTCCAGCTTTGCACTTTTTTTATTACTATTATTTTTATCTTCGTCATTACCCCAGTGCCTCTGATGGCATTTAGATATGAACAGCCTATGAACCTTCAAGCCCGATTGTGCCATGACAAAAATATTGTCGTTTACATTCTGTGCCAAAGTATTATATAAAAACACATCAACGAAAAGGAAATTCAGGAAGCTGGGAGTAAAGATATATAGTCAGCAAAGTATATAACTTCTGGCATATTACTGCTTAATCCTAACATAATTATTCTCATCCTTTTATTTGATTAACTTCTAATGGTTCCTCTTGGTGTTAAAGGTCCCACTCTGATCATTTGATTTTAGTGTCTGCTATAATTACCGATAATGTTCTTTGCAAGACAATTTAATGATAACCGCATAATGGCCTATATGAAGAAAGCTGCAGGGTTTCAAAGCTTTTGAGTAATATAAAATACATTAGACTAACACAAGCTATCAACATGACAGGGAATGTTTGATTTACACTCAGGACTATGTTATAGCGTCGTGGAATTTTTTCTTTTTCTTTTCCTTTTTTTTTTTTTTCTTTCTGCAGCCATTTACAAGAAATGACAGAGCAGTTGGACAATCTGCAACTTGCTGATTGCAGAACAGAAAAAAAATGTATTGTGAAATTTGGAATGGTGCAGTGTCAGCCAGGAGATGTCTGGGAAATCAGTGTCCTTGGGGGTAGAGTAGGAACAAGAACCAGAGCCTGATTTCTGATTCCTTGGAGATGGATCCCAAATAGCTTCCCTACCAAATAGGTGGCTCAGCTAAAAATCAACCGACTGTTCTCTTAGCTTGTCTCCTTGCCCCTCAGATTCCAGCAGCTCAGATCTTCAGCACTAATCCTGCATCTTGGGTTAATCCTTAGCTGCAGGCTCCTCCCTGAGTGGCCCACCTCAATCTTACAACCGACTTTTAGGATCAAAAGGATAAGATTTTGTTCTCAGTTACTTAATCTCACCTCCCCAAACAGGCAAGTGAGAGAGCAATCAACAGTTTGGTCCAAACCCTGATGACCAACAGAATGGACCCTCTTTTCTTGCTGGCCCCTGGCCAATGCCGTCCCTCACCACCACCACCCGCCCCGGGCTACAGGCATTCTGCACTTGGGAGCCTGGCACACATGACTTTTTCACTGGAAATAAAGTGATCACTCACTACTCGGGCCAAATGCAGCATAATTGATGGTGTGAGTAGATGGAGAAAATTTCCTGTCAGAAAAAAAGGTTAACTGCGGACATATTACACCCAGGGTCTCTGATTCCGGGATAATGGCATTTGGACAAAAGTAGGTCCCCATCCTTTTTATAGCACTTTATGCCCCATTAGTATTACTGCAAGTCTCAGGACCTGCCTGCTCGGGCACTTAATCAAAAGCAATGGGTTGAAAATCATGTTCCAGCTCTCCTCATATTTGATTCATTCCTTCTAGATAGGAAGAAGTGAAAAAAAAACATATTACTAGCATCAAAACAGCACATGCATTATGCGCTAAGCAGTTGAGAAGGCTATCATTGGACTTTATCCCTTTGGGTACTTGGCTGGACAAGCACTTTCCTATTCATCCGTTCGGTGGGCTGAGGTAGCCATATTTCATTTCTTCCCTCCCCTCTGACAGACAATCCGTTAGTTTTCCAGAGATCTCTCTTTTAAAGACACATTCATGTCACTTATTTTAATTGTAGGCTTCAGGCAGCAAAGCTTAGAATCTTTCTCTCTCTGTCTCTCTCTCTCAACTGGAAACCCACTCCTTGGATGTAGCTCCTTCGAGAATGGAATCTAATAATAGGAGAGGCACATTTCTTGGGGGAAGAATTAATTTATACACTTAATTACTCGGGATCCACTTCAAACTCTCTGCCTTAACGCTCTCTCTTTCTTTTGGAGCGTTTTTAACTAAACACTGAGTGCTCTGACAGCCCCTGAGGAGAGCCTGCCTCATTTAGTTGGAGAGTCCTGGCTCCTTCTTGCCTCAGCCCTCCTGGCCCGTTTCTGTACCCTCTAGGAGGAGCTGGGGCCTCAGCCGAGGATCTGAGGGCCCCATGCCTCTTACTGTTGATTGGGATGGGGTGAGAGGGGCCTCGGTTCAATGAACCACTCTCTGTCACTCCTGCGCTCTCTGCGGTTTCCCAGTGGATTTTCAACTGTATGCTCAGTCCCAGGATAACTCTGCAAAATGAAATCATTTCTTCTATCTGTTAAAATGGGGGCAATGGCCAGGCCCCTGCTTGTTCAGCAGGCCTTAGTCTAAGGAAAAGGCTTTTTCTATGTGAAGGAATTTGTCTCACATCTTGTCCAGAGAGTCAAGAAAGGGCATAGTCAACTGCGAACTACAACGTGGGAAAGGCTTGCCTGCCCTGGATTGAGACAGGGGAGTTATTGCTTGCTTCCACAACAAACAGACAAACAAAATTAACACCAGGGCACAACGGAGCCAGGTCACAGTCAGCCAGAGTCAGTTGCTCCTGACAGCCCAGGGGTTAATTCTAGAGGCTGAGAAACCTAGACACCAGGGCTGCGGAGTGAGCATGGCTGTGTGCGGTGAGGGCAGAGTGGCGTGTCTCTATCTCTGGGAGTGCACGAGGGCTAAAAATGTGGGGAGACCATCCAGTTCCAAGTGAGACCAGTCAGTCTCACCAACATCCCTCCAATGTGTCAGCGTTTGGAGATTTATCCACTGTTTGTAGATCAGCCATATTAAATGCACAGGAGATCTGAGAATGGCAAAATGGAACATGACATTAACATCACACTGAGATTAATTTAGATTCAATCTGCTGCCTTCATAGAATATTTCATTTAAATTATGGTATCAAGTTGGAAATGTCTTCTTAGGATCATATATCCCATTACAAAGCAATATAAATTCTATATGTTAACATGATAATTATTTTGAAACCTCACGAAAATCTAGAAAACTAAATCAACCATTAATCAAGTCTCAGGGAAGAGGACTGTAAATAATTTTGCTATGCTTGGAAACAACATAGAAACTGTGAGAGGAAGAGGAGGCAGATTTGGCTATATAAAACAAAAAACATTTACATTTTAAAAGAAAAGTACTATAGCCCCTATGACAAAGGGTTAATCTCTTCATTATTTACAATTATAATGTTAATTAACAAGAAGATATGAAGTTTCCACAAACTACGAATGTTTGTATATTTACATATATATTTTACTCCAAGTATGTATATGTATTTCATGGAATAGAAAATGCAATCAGTAAACAAAAGAGGAATGTTCAACTACATTAGAAAACCAAAAAAAATGTAACTTTAACCTCATTTATTTTCTCAAGCACCAACAGTTAACTTAAATCTTTCAGTGTATTCTATTCTATCATCTTTTTTTTTTTTCTCTACTTGATTTAGGTTAACAACCTGTCAAATGCTCTAATATCAGGTTATGCTCTTAGGACACATAGTATTTCATTCATGGAGTGAATTAAGAAGAAATTAAAATTAATTTTTTAAAAAGTCATCATTTTGTGCATTAAATTGTGTGTGTGTGCGTGTGTGTGTGTGTGTGTGTGTGTGTGTGTGTGTGTGTGTGTGTGTG